ACCAGCGACAGGTTGACTACTGCGGGCCAGAACGAGAACAACCAGCAGCGGTGTACACTTACATGGCCCGCAGTAGTCAACCTCGCCCATACAGGAAAAGATACACTGCGTTAGAGGGCGGTTGGCTACTGCGGGTCATCGGGACAACAACCAGCATCGGTACACACTGACATGGCATGCAGCAGTCAACCTCACCCAGCTGGAAAAACAGAAAAACATGTGGCACCAGCGACAGGTTGACTACTGCGAGCCAGAACGACAACAACCAGCAGTGTTGTACACTTACATGGCCCGCAGTAGTCAGCCTCGCGCAGACAGGCATACATACACTGGACAGACAGACAGGTTGGTTACTGCGGGCCAATGGGACAACAACCACCAATGGTACACACAGTCATGGCACGCAGTAGTCAACCTCTTGCAGCTTGGAAAACAACACTCGCACAATCGACACGTTCACCAGTCAGCGATGCAACACGACGCTGAACGTGACATGCGAGACCAGAATTGGCCTGCAAGGGGGACAACTTCGTGCTGTCGGACGGGTACACATGCGCCGACAGAGGGCTATTCAGTGTTGCGGCCCACTAGCCAACCTCAAGTATGTGAAAACTAGACATAGGTACACACAGAGAGAGAGAGAGAGAGATCACGCTTCCCTGACGACCCGCGCTGCCACAATTTGACATCTTCTGTACAGAGTTTTCAAGCGCTCATGGATGTCAAGTCCTTTCCTGCAATATTCACATTTTTTTTCCGCTTCATGATGGTCCGCGTTCAGTAACACCGGTCCCATTATCTCTTTGATATATGAAATTATATGGGAAAAACAGTCCGCGACCAGCCTGGCCATTTGTCGAGAGTTTGCGTCAACAACGAAATTTTTAAAAATTTGCGTCGTAATAGGCAGTACAGAAGATTCTGGTCCGGCCGAAGGTGCTTTGCTGGCAAGCACGCAGGGGAAGTTGTGACGCACGTGGTGAGATTTCAGTGCAGCAACATCACTGCACGCCAACAGGATGTGTGGCGCAGGCGCATCCTTCCCAAGAGTGGCCCCATTTCTCGAACACACTCCGATTGGTCTGTCAGCTTCTTCTCTTCCCTTCTTCGTTTCACCTTCTCCACATCCCATAACATCTCCTTCCATACATGTCACCGTCAGTTCTCCAGCCAACAACCTGCCTCGAGTGTGTTGCAGGGTATCCATTACGTCTTCGCAACTGCTCAGCAGAGATGCGATTTTTGCAGGAAGCTCGTCATTAACAGACCTGACACCCACTTCACTCAGACCGTACTCCTCGACGGTTTTCGTACAGTGGCGAATGCAGTCCTCGGCGAAGGCTAAGAGGTCAACGACGCTGCGTGTCGTCGTAGGTAGCGAACCTGTGTTGTAATCTTGGCTATTGTACGATGCCCACTCCTCCTTCAGCACACACTTTCCGCAACTGGCAAGACACATGACATCCCCTCCGTCTGACTCCCCGTTTGTTGTCTTCGTGACGTGGACGGAGAACCGCTTCAAGACTGCGGTGCGCCTTTCCCTTTCAATATCCAGCCATGCCTGAAACTCGTCGAACGTGGTGTTCTTTGTCTCAGCAATTGTCTGAAGTCTGGCTGACATGTCCTCCCTCAGACGAGTAACGTCTATATCTTTCATGTTGTCAAGCAACAACCAGAACACGGTGAACATCCTGTGCTCCGC